CAGAAAACTGGATGGCGTTGAAAGCCCGTTCTGTGGGGGGTGTCGTTCACAGCCAATCCGGTGAGGCACTCCCTTGCATGGTGAGTTCAAAGTCCCACCGGAGAGCGTTTTTTTGTCTCGCCAGCAGAGTTTAAACCAAGCCCTCCTTCCCATCTGGCAAACCACCAAAGGGGGCACTCTACCCATTGTACAGAACCCAGGGGTACAATTCTGGAGTGTGTCGCCCCCAGCTTGAAGATGGGCTGTCGCCCCTGAATGCTCTGCTGTGTTTCTACAGGTAGTAAAATGAGGACACGAGACGGCAAAACCTTTCTCACCAATGTTATCATAAAGAAGAGGAGGAGGAGGAGATTGGATTTATACCCTGCCCTTCAGTACCCAAAGGAGTCTCAGAGCGGCTTGCAAACTCCTTTCCCTTCCCTTCCTCACAGCAGACACCCTGTGGGGCTGAGAGAGCTCTGACAGAAACTGCTCTTTTTCAAGGACAGCTCTGACAGAACTATGGCTTGCCCAAGGAGGAGGAGGAGGAAGGAGATTGGATTGGAGGAGAGGGAGATTGGATTTATACCCTGCCCTTCACTACCCAAGGGAGTCTCAGAGCGACTTACAAACTCCTTTCCCTTCCCCTCCCCACAACAGACACCCTGTGAGGTAGACGGGGCTGAGAGAGCTCTGACAGAAATTGTTTGTTTTCAAGAACAGCTCTGCCAGAACTATGGCTTGCTCAAGGTCATCCAGCAGGTGCAAGTGGAGGAGTGGGGAATCACACCCGGTTCTCCCAGATTAGAGTCCACGCACTTAACCACTACGCCAAACTGGCTCTTAAAATAAGACCACCCCCCTGGAGTGTGAAATGGTAGGTGCCAGAATATTACTACCTTAGTGTTTCGGCCTTACTTTGAGTAGGTCAGTGCGAATTCACCAGCATTTGGGCTTTGCATTTTGTGCAAAAAAACAAAACAAAACAAAACTGTACTTAATTTTGTGATTTGGTGAACTGTGGGAAATGAGAGAAAGGAACGTCCAACGGTTGAATTGACTGTCCTAGTAGGACATAAGAAACGTATTTTGAATCCTGTTTCCCTCCACCTCGAATACTAAAGAGATTGGAGCGGCTAGGTTCTGTTTTCACAAGCAGTCAACACCATTGTTACTGTCACTTTGTGGAATTGTCCCAGTGACCCCCATTAAACGTCAAAGGAGATACCCAGCCATTTTTCCTACACAAAAGAAAGATTAAACTTCAAAGCAAAACATATTTTGTGGGGTGTTTTTTTGTGTGGAAACAATCAAAATCTGCTCCGAGGGGAGACTCTGGTTGAAAAACATTCCTGAGAGAAAAGATCTAATTTCACGCTCGAGGTGAGGCTGCGGATACAAGGAATTAGCTGTCGCACCCTCTGCCCCCGGGATGTCGTTTTTGTTGGTTAAAAAAAAAGTGGATTAGATAAATGGAAGGAAGGAAAGGCCCGTCGATGGTTAGTAGACAGGATGACTTCCTCCTTCAGAGAGCCAGTTTGGTGTCGTGGTTAGGCACGCAAACTCTGATCTGGGAGAACCGGGTTTGATTCCCCACTCCTCCACATGCAGCTGCTGGGGTGACCTTGGGTCAGTCATAAGTTCTCTCAGAGCTGTTCTCTCAAGGGCAGTCCTCGAAAGAGCTCTCTCAGCCCCACCTACCTCGCGGGGTGTCTGTTGTCGGGAGGGAAAGGAAAAGGAGATTGTAAACTGCTCTGAGACTCCTTTGGGTAGTGAAAAGGGGGATATAAAGCCAATCTCTTCTCCTTCTTCTCTGCATGCTAATGCGGGGTGGAGGAAAAGATGGGGACAAAGATATCCACAACCTCCTTTTTAGACCGTCTTGTAGGGAGGGGCGCCTTGGGTGGCTACTGAGCGAAAGAGTACCCCAGACTACGTAGACCACTGGTCATATCCAGCATGGCTTCTTCTCACAGTCTTGAGTAAGGCTATCTAAGGTGGACTAGTGACCTCTCTGTATACTTTGACCCTATGTCTGTGCTCACGATTGCGAGAGTTAAGGAAGAGCAAAAGGATTAGTGTCCTCCTTCCCCTAAGCATCCCATGCTCAGGAAACAAACTTGGATTCTGCACACATCCCATACTGATACGTTCTTTGGGATGGAGGGGACGTCCGCCCCTTCTTATTCCAGAATCTTCTTTGCAGGTATGGCGTTTGTGTCTGCAACGAGCGAAGGCGGAACACTCTTCCAGAGTAGTTCAGGCCACCAGGTCGTGATATTCTGGGGTCTTCACATGTTCACAGCGACATCTAGTGGAAAGCTGTCCACACTCTCCGAAAAGCATTTTTTCCATCATTCCCCACGGTATAAAGTATTGTGACTCCAGAAAAAGAAAACCACCCGAGGCATTCCCAGCATCATCCGAATACAAATACATATCAGCGACAATTTCACTGGAGTCTGAAAATCTTCAACACATCTTTAGAAACTCTCCTCAAAAAAATGGTCAATGCTCCCTCTAAGCTGTGGAGTCTTGTGAGCAAAAATTCAACTTTATGAGTTACTGACATTAAAGTTGTGAGCAAGCGATTTGGCTGCTACATAAATCAGTTTGCTTTGGAGCCATCCTGCCTGAGCGAAGACAAAAATGTGTGAGCTGGAGGCTAAAAAACTGTGAGCTAACTCACACTAACTCAGCTTAGAGGGAACACCGGTCAGGACCAATGCTCACTCTAAGCTGTGGAGGCTTGTGAGCAAAAATTCAACTTTATGAGTTACTGGCGTTAAAGTTGTGAGCAAGCGATTCGGCTGCTACATAAATCAGTTTGCTTTGGCGCCCTCCTTCCTTACAAAACGTGTGAGCTGGAGGCTAAAAAACTGTGAGCTAGCTCACACTCACTTAGCTTAGAGGGAACACTGGTCAGGACAGTGCAGGGCCGGCCTCTTCCTGTCTTTCTAACATAGTTTTTTGGAAATGTCTCAAAACACCTGGAGTGCTAATTGCATGTCTGCATGCAATTAAAACAGAGGTGGGAACTTCTGCACAATCTGTGACTGCAGTGAACGGCCCTGGGATGAACGCTTCCCCTCTCCGTTGGGCTAGGACCGTGACTGAGGCCCCTTGACCAGGGTCTGGCACCAAAGCAGGAAGTCGGCCTCAGGAAATGGGAGGGATGGCTCTACCACACCCTACTAAATCCTGCCTCTAGCAACATTCAGGCAGGAGCTTGACTCAGTCCCAGGGTAAAACGGTAGCCCTCTCCAGTTTCCTCTGCAGCAAATGCTTTGGTTTTACTAACCTCCCACTATCTTTCTGCTGGTGCCTCCTGCAGCCCTGCCTCTCTCAAGCGGGATGCCCAGAGAGCAGGAATCATTCCCAGTTGCCCCCACCCAGAGATTCTCTCGCCACGCAGAGACCCACAAGATTTTGGGGGTAGAAGCATTCGAGCGTCAAGCTCATGAGCGTCTGATGACAAGAGGTCTGAGAGACAAAAGAGGCGAATGCGATCTTGGGGTGTATCAACAGAGGCACAACATCTAAATCACAAGATGTCGTAGTCCCGCTGTACACTGCATGGATCAGGCCGCAACTGGAGTACTGTAGTGCTGTTCTGGAGGCCTCCCTTCAAAAAGGACGTGGACAGACGTGCAGAGGAGAGCGACGGGGAGGATCGGAGGCCTGGAGACCAAGAAGCCCTGTGAGGAAAGGCTGAGGGACTGGGGAATGCTCAGTCTGGAGAAGAAGAAGTGGAGGGGGGAACAGGATGGCTCTCTTGAAGTATCTGAAGAGCTGTCACTTAGAGGAGGGCAGGGAGCTGTCCCCGTTGGCAGCAGAGGGGAGAACTCACAATCATGGGTTTAAATTAAGGGCGGAAAGGATCTTAGGGAAAACGTTTTGACGGTCAGAGTAGCTCAACAATGGAATCAGCCACCTGGGGAGGTGGTGAGCTCCCCCTCCCTGGCAGTCTTCAAGCAGCGGCTGGACGAACCCTTGTCAGGGACGCTCTAGGCTGATCCTGTATTGAGCAGGGGGTTGGACTAGATGGCCTCTAGGGACCCCTTCCAACTCTGGGATTCTATGATTCTCCAGAGCTTATACCCCACTGGGCTTGGAATCTAGCTGCTCCACATGGCTACCTTCTGAAACTGTCTTCCCGTACAGGACTTCTGTATCGGAGGTATGAACACACGCATGATGAATCGAGACCATCGGTCCATCAAGGTCAGTATTGTCTACTCAGACTGGCAGGAGCCCTCCAGGGTCTCAGGCAGAGGTCTTTCACACAGCACCTCCTGTCTGGTCCTTTTAATTGGCGATTAAACCTGGGACCTTCTGCCTGCCAAGCAGATGCTCTGCCACTGAGCCACAGCCCCTACATTTGAGAACCTTAAAGCAAGCCCTTTGTGCTCCCAAGGGTGGACAATACCTGGCGAGAGTTCAGAAGCCAGGTATCTCTGCTGCCCGGGACTGTGACTCTTAGCATTGTGGCTTTAGGTACAGCACAGAAAACTAATAGTTATCCGTCTAAAGGAAGGGCGTGCTCCCTACCCAGTAATGCCACATAGCGGCCATTTTCCATGGTCCTTTTCATAGCCTTGTATCCAGAGATGCCGCTCCCCTGGAACAGCTCTCAGGGCTGTTGTGTATTGTGTTACTAGTAAGTGCGGAATGCCTGAGCTTCAGCCACAAGCTCCACTGACTCTTTGTATCCTGAAATCTGCCGCAGGATTGGTCGGTGTCGGGAGACAGACCAATCAGGACAGCAGTTGACATTCGGCGGGGACAATTCCTGTTGGTTCCAGGCACTCGTTATTGATTGGATATTACTGTTCTAGGGGGTGTGGTTTCCCTTGGTTCAAATTGTATATAGTTGGGCCCTTCTCTATGTTTGCTGTTGTGTTCTAAGCGGAATAAACAAATCACTTTTGAAAAGAGCTGCCTTAAGCATAATAGGGCACAAACAAAGCACATCGTGGAAACAGACCATAAGTCACAACCACCAACCAAGAATTGCTGCTATGGGTGTATTTCATCAGCAAGCACATACCCCAGACCAATTTATCATCATTATATTACTATATAATTATTATTTATTTTATAAACCATCCTCCCCTGTTTTTTAGTTCCTGGTTTGACGCAGAGGATGTCTTTTAGACAAAAAAACCCAAAAACCCTTCCCTAAGGAAGTTATTCTGTACAGAACTGTAGAAAAGTTTCAGCGTCTATTGCTGTTTCTCTGGAGTGCCACTTTCAGAGGTCCGAACTTGCTGTAATTTTCCACAGCTCCTGGTTGGTGGGGAGGAAAGAAAACACAGATTCTGAAAAACGGATCGGAGGTTTATCAACATCATGAATCAAAACAAAACCGTTTGAAGACTGCATCGTCCCTGTTTTCTACCTAGAACTTGGAACTTCATTATCAGCACGCAAAATAGCGTTGTGTGGAAGCGCCTTCCCACCTGAATTACTCGTGGAGGGGATACTTTACACTTCACGGAAGAACTCAGTCCTATCTACACCTACGAGATGAACAGATGTTTCGGAATCTCGGTATACGGAACTTCACTAAGCAGCCTTACCCATCTCCTCTTGCTGGCACACGGACCCCGAAAAGCTGGGCTCGTACGACCACTGAGGTACCTGGCATGTTAAACTGCCACATACGGTTACTTCTTCTTTTTTTTGAAGTAGCCACTACAAGGCAGTGCTGAGTTTTATTTTTTTATGGCCGAAGGCCAAAGGCCCATCCATTCCAGCACTCTGTGTCACACAGTGGCCAGAAATACCAGGTGCCATCAGGAGGTCCACCAGTGGGGCCAGGACACTAGAAGTCCTCCCACTGTTGACCCCCCCCCCCAGCACCAAGAAGACAGAGCATCACTTGCCCCAGAGCCCCTATCTATACCTTGTGGCTAATAGCCACTGATGGACCTCTGCTCCATATCTATATATCTAATAGTCAAGTGGCCCC